GGATTTGAGTAAAAATTCAAAAGTTTAAATTAAATTTGGATGGACTTGGATAAAGACGCCGAATAACCCGAAACCCGAATTTAAAAATGTTAAATATACATATAAATTATTAGTCATTACATGATATTAAAGTAATTTAGATTATTAAATCATATTGAATATATATTAGATATACAAATAACATAAAATCTTACCTTTTTTTTTTTTTTTTCACTCATAAATTGTAAGGACTACTATTGTGACATCTCTCTTACATTATATAAATTGTTTGTTTTGATGGTATTAATGATTTTCTATATAAAAAATATATAAATATAGTCAAATTTTAATAATTTAATAATTTGGTTGCTAAAAAAAAAAACTAAAATTCATTTACAATTAAGACAACTCGACCAATACGGGGTTTAACTCGGATCAGGTTTGGACAGGTAATCTCGGGTTATAATTCGGACCTGGGCAGGTCTCAGCACAATTTGGAATGGGTTTGGACAACCTCCCAACCCAACCGAACCAGTCCGAATTGCATTGGTATTTTATTTATTGTAATTATATTTTTTAAATAATTTTTTTATAAATAAACAAAGTGTACTTACTAATTTCATATTTGATGCCTTTTAGATAATATAATTTTGTACATTTTCTTATTCATTTGGATTATATATATATATATATATATATTATTTATGGTTTCTCATATGATGATGATTCATTTAAAATTAAATAATTACATATCATTTTGAAACAATATTAGTTACGTTTAACTTTATCATTGAAATAAATATAAATAATACAAAAAGCTCTTAATCCATAGTATCACACAAATTGTATTTCTATTAATTTCACACAAATATCTAGAATCCACTTGTAAATATCACTGTAAACCCAAAAAAAAAATATCAAAAATTATTTTGGCATCATGAAAGAATGTTATCTCCACAAATATGAGTCAATAAAAATCTTTCATAATCGTTTTAGAAAGTCCTGGTAATGTAATGAAAGTATTTAATATGCCAACTACTTATGACAGGTATATGTTTGAAACTAAGATGGAACAAGCATATCGCATACCTAACGAGTTTTGTCCCTTACTATTTAACTCATTCATTTTTTAAATTCAAGAACGGTTGGTGGTGATTAAGTACTATAAATTTCGAGGCATAATATCATAGTATGAAAATAATTAGAATTAAGCATAATAAAAGTGAGATAACACATTGTTGTAAATTATATGTAATACTACTATAAAATAATATAATATTAAACACAAATGAAAATATTGCAAAAGAATAAGTTAAATAAAGAAAGATTCATTTGTTGATAGAGGCATGTTATTACTGTTTTAATTGTGAGTTTTTGCCCCTTTAAGTGCCAGATTGAGTGTAACAAGTTATAATGTTCTATTTCTAAAAGAGTTATACTAGAGACTCCAAATAATTTATTAAATTTTTTACTAAATCTCTTACATAGGTGTGGGACTCACACATTTGTGTGGATCCCACACCCACGTGAAAAATTTGGTAGATTATTTGGGATCCATAGTATTTTCCTTTCTAAAATTTAACTATCACTTTTCAACAATTATGCATTCGTAAACGTGGAGATATACAAAACTACTATTAATTGTCACTACTAAAAAAACCACTTTTTGCGACCGCTATAAACCGTCGCAAATAATAAAAAACAGTCGCAAAAGACTTTTTGCGACGGCCCATGCGACGGCAAATAGGGGTCGCGAATATGAGGGTGGCAAATACTTTTTGCGACGGCAAAACAATGGTCGCAAATTATTTGCGACCACCTAAACTACTTATGACGACTGCTATTTTGTCGTCGCAAAAAACAAAGAAAAACACTACCATGATCTTTGACGACCATCTTGTTACCGTAGCAAAAAATTAAAAATAAAAATAAAAATAAAAAAATGAAAGTGTAGCGTTAAGCACTCTAGGAATAACAATGACAAGAATTCAGACAGTATATCATTATAGTTTTATTGAACATTCTATTTGAGTCTCAAAATTTGAGCTACATGTAAAAGTTATTACAACTAAAAACTTGAAAAAAGTTCTTTTATGAAAAAAATACAATCCAGAACTGGCCAATCTTCTCATCAATTTTCTTGCTCGGGTGTTTCTCCACTCTATCAATGAACTGGCATAACACCTTGCACCCATATTCATCAAAATCATTTCAGCAAACACTTCCACTAATGCTTTGGCAACCTATAATTGATGCCAACCAAAATGTCACAAGCAACAAAGATGAATTATTTCACTATAAAGGTGAGAGCAGAAGTCCTTCCAGATTCATGGGGTTAATTTTTGTTGCGCATGTGCATGTGTAAGCAAGCACACACATAATTATTCTATGTCAGATGAACATAAGAAAGACTAGAAAATATAATCAAAATTCTGGTTATCAGAACAAAAACAAGTGAAACAAGAGGGATTGCGGGAACTATAATATGTATAATAGAACTACTAGTGTAATCTATTGCCAAATTAAAAAAACCAACCTTTATTGGGTTGATCCTCATTTCCCTCAGAAATTCCAAGTTATCAACCTGAAAGCTAAGGAACTTCCTGTAGTAAAATTTGTCTATAGAATTTTACTAGCATGTGACAGGTACTAGTGGAGTTGTCAAAAAATAAAAATAAATAAACAAAAGGGAAAAAAAAATTAAATAACTACTGGTATGACCATCATCAAGACAATCATTCTTGAATTTGACCCGCTTCTAGTAATTGATCAATAAGGGAATTTGAATTTTGCTACTTAGATGGATCGAAAAAATTTAATGTTAAATTTGATAATAGCTAAGCTGTAAAATCTATGAAGTCCAAATGTGGAACAAGTGTTAGTATAGTAAATGATGGTCATGAATCACCACAGCTGAACTCAATCTGCAAGTGGCAATTAAACAAAGACTTATAGATGCAACCAAGTTTAAAAAGCAACAAATTCAAAAGGCTTTGATTTCATGTTAGGCAAGAAGTCTGTGTTACCATTGATGGGGATAAAGGCAGCTGCACTAAAATATTGTATAGACTAACAATAGTGCCTATTGCTATCACTTTTGGAATCAAATTTTCAGTAAACATGGCCACTATTTTTTGGGTCAATCAGCATACAGAACTTGGCTCTCTCTCGGTATTCGGTTCATAGGCCTGCAGCCCAATCAAATTTTCAAGGCCTCTTGAGGTGTCATTTAGATGAGCCAAGCCCCTAAAAAATGAAGGATTATAACTCCATGTTATCACAAAAGGATATGCATATGTATATCACAATGTGAAGGCTGTCAAGGAGCAATATATAGTTTGTCCCTAACAAAGTTCTCAATAAACCCAAGGGCAGGATCACAATGAAATTCATGTGTTTCATTCAATATCAAGTTGGTGGATAGCTAGGTTCTTAATCATTTGAAGCCATATAATTAATAAATGACATAATGTACCTGTTCTTTCATGTAGGGCATGAAAAATTGAGTATTTGTGCTGCATACATTCTCTTCATACACAGCAAATATCATAAATACATGCATGGGGAAATATAGTGATATCCTTCAAGAACTTCATACACAGCAAATATCATAAATACATGCATGGGGAAATATAGTGATATCCTTCAAGAACTTCATACACAGCAAATATCATAAATACATGCATGGGGAAATATAGTGATATCCTTCAAGAACTTCATACACAGCAAATATCATAAATACATGCAGAAATATAGTAGAGTGGCATACCTATTCATTTTCTTTTGAAGGTTGTTGCCCACTAGATGCATCTGACACCTACAATATGTTAGTATAATGTGTTAATAATTTCCATATGTATATATACAAATTGATAAAACGTAAAATTTGTTAATTTGTAAGTATTGCACCTCTCTCAAGCTTATACTCCCAGCCACACCCTAGAATTCATGGTACCATCATCTCAGAATTCAAGGGACAAAAGTAGTAGGATAGTTTAAGAACAAAAATCCATACAAGACAAAATAAATACTCTTTATGGACCATGCTGAACTTACAATCAAAACATGTTAAAAATAGTGGAAAATGTTGACACACAAGAATTTTGTTTACCCAGGACCAATAAAATAGAATACCTTTGGGCCATCTTTATAACAAGTCTAGACAAAGAGGCAAAAACAGGGGAAAACTGATGATTTCCCAGAGGTGTAGAACATAATATACACACAGCATGAATGAATTTCCAAGAAGAGAGTTCAATGGGGTACCTTGAAGCATGACATTTGTTGAAGTATGAAGATATGGCTTTAACCAATGAAACCCAAAAGGAAAATAGTAAGTAAAAATTATAAGAAGATACATACCAGTTTAAGCATTAGCAAACTATGAAATTAGAGAGAAACTTAAATATCAGGATCAAATATGTTAGATTAAAAATATGAAAACACCTAATGTAAAATTTTGGCAACAATTCCACGGACAGGAGTCAAAATATTTTCTACATCAAATATCAGGGAAAGATGTACATGGTGGTAAGTGACAATCAATCCGCCAATAACATAGCAGATTATCAAGAGTATGAAGGGATATCTTATTATTAGCTACAACTAATCCTAGGGTCTTTTAACTTTTTTTTCAATCAAGTGCTTCAATTAAACTAGGCAATGGGATAAGATGTATGTTTTGGTCTAACCAATGGATGGGAAATAGTTGTTTAAAAGATTTATATTCATGACTGTATTTGCTTTCAAGGACCAAGGATTGATCTGTCTAGGAACCTTTTAATGGCAAGGATGGATTACGTGGCTGGAACTTGAGGCATAGAAGGGAGCTCTTCAAGATGGATGTGTTCAAACTAATCAAGATGTATGAATACAGTCCTTGTCAGTCAAATAATTCTAGGATGCATGTTTATTCTTCAATAAAGTTTTGAAACATACTTGCTGCGAGGAAACACACATGCACAGATGTACAAGCAGTACACGAGTTTGAGTATGCACTTGAAACTCTGGCAATCGAAGCGTGCTTCTTTTTGGGAGTAACGATGACGGAGCTTCAGAGAATACATTAACCTTTAATTTAGGCCAACATTAACATTATCAAAAGAGATAACAGCAGTATAAATTACCTCCAAAGCAAAGCCACAAGCTATTATGACAAGATGAGCTTCAGGCTGTCAATGTCAATGATTATTTCCTCCAAAACAGACAAAAATAAAGTTTATCATAACCAAATCTTTCAAAGGCTATCATAAATAATAATTTACCATTTGTATTGCTAATCAGTGCTTGTTCAGTCAAGCACTTAGTGCCAAACAATAACGTTAACAAAGTGACATATATATATATATATATATATATATATTGTAGGATACATCTCAGTTTTTACTTTCAGCATCTTCTTTGCCTTCTCGATTTCAAGATGATGAGGATGACTTGCAACAACAACAACAACAACACAATTAAAAAGCATTAAACAAATATAATTTCCAAAAACTACATCAAACAAAGTAAACTGATCAACGTAACATATATATAATCAGCAGACCTTGAACCTAAATGTTCAGATTATACAGAGCTTAGAATTAGAAATTGAAACTCGAGAGATTCATGTATCTAATTGAGATAATCAGATCATCAACCACAACAAGCAACGTAAATTATAGTTAAAATTAGAATCAAATTGTTTACCTGAACTGAAGCTTGAGTCCCAGCTGATACGATCACAGTCGCAGCAGCGCTTATCATACCTAGAGCGTTGTTGTTTGTGCTTCTCATCTCTCTGTTTTTTTCTCTTTGCCCGATCAAACAATTAACCTAATTTCACTCAACAATTTTCTGTTTTATCGTCGATCAAATCTCGTAGAGGCTGCATCTTTCTCGAGAAAATTCAACTTAGAAAATTGAATTTTGAGTCGGAAAATGAAATTGAAGATCAGAGAAACAGAGCATGATGAAGAAAGTGAGAGACCGAGAGACAAAGATTCATACCACTAGAGCTGCGACTAATGGCGAGCAAGAGAGCGAGAGAGACAGTTTGTGAATGTCCTGAGAGTGAAAGGGGCTAGGGCATTGGTATATAAAATAAATAAAAGAAATAGGAATCATAAATTGAGCAAAGTAAAATCACGTAGTTTTGGACTGTTTTCATTGATTTATTTTTTTGCATCCGTCTTTTTTTCGGTAGCAAATTTTTTTTTTTTTGCGACGGTTAAATAGTCAGTCGCAAAAAATTAGACGCAAAAGGTTAATTTTCTAGTAGTGTAACTACAATTATCAAATAAATATATTTTTCTAATAAATAATTTATACACAAATAGTTACATAGTAAATTAATTGAAATACCAAAATATAATGCGTGATGAATTCACAAATCCAAACTAATAATCTGATCATTTTAATGGATTGAACGAGTCTTACACTTATGGAAAAATGTTACAAGGTACACAGTTAAAAATACCTCTTCTAAGATTTGTTCAAAGTATAAATTGTTTATTGTAATTTAAAAAATTACAAATACTTCATTGTCAAAAAATTTTATTTAACAGAATTAATTAAAAAAAAATAAAATTCATAATTACTCTCGTATACAATAATAAAATTATTTAAATTATTAATTAAAACATGTTTCAAATATCATTAAAAACTGTTAATTGACTTGATGATTTATTAATAAAGGGGGCGATTTGTTATGAAATTAGAAATTTCAAGGGGTGAAATGTAATTTCTAAAACTAGAAAGGACGATTTGTATTTTAATCAAATCTCAGGAGATGTATTTATAATTTATCAAAAAAGGGGAGAAATAACTTATCAGTGATGGTTAGAGGGGGAAAAAATTACTAAAATGTAATAAATATTGTAAATACTAATAATTAAAATTAAAATTTTTATTATTAATGTACAAATTTTTTCTTTGACACCACTATACCATAATTGTCCCTAAAAAAAATTAGATGTATACCATAATCTCAATCAAAAAATTTTCCTCAGTGGGCCCAGTGTTGTTATCATCCAAATATCATGATCTTTGGTTTACTTCCTATTTTCCTTCCAATGGAGAAGGTTGTTTTTAATAGGGAATGACTTGTTTCTACCGGTCAAAGTTGTCAACTGCCTGACTCAATTCAATTTTTACCTAGAGACAAACTAAATTCTTTTTTATATTATCAAAATCACTATGTCGATCCATCTACAAATACGAAATTCCCACCATTTATTATTTTTTAGGTCAATTTAAGTTCCGTTTGAATAGATATTTCAAATGAAATTATTTGAAGTTAAATTTTATAAAAATTTAAGAGAATTGATTATTATTGATAATTACGAAATTGGAGGAAAAGTTAAAAGTAGAGTAAGAAAATAATTATTTTTTATAATTTATTTTTTTCCTATTAAAGTATTTATAATATATAAAATTATAATTAGACAATTATATATAAGTTCAACAAAAGATCTCTATAAACAATAAGAAACCACTGGCGAGCATCTCCAACGGTAGTAGGCATTTTACCTATCTAAATATTATTATAAAGTATATATTTTATTTTGCCTATCAACTGTTTTATGTTTTTATTCCAACCATACTCTTTATTTTAGCTATTTATCCAAATACTATTAATTTTATAGAATGCCACGTCAACAACAAAGATGGAGGGAAATGATCCTAATGATTGAATACATTTTGCCTAGCGTTGAAGGCTGGCTACATATAGCTAGTGAATATGAGTTGAGCCAAAATGCCTAATGCCTAGTGCATTGGAATTGAAAAAAGTGAATCACACTAGGCATTTTAACTAACAAATATTATATGCCTAGTGCATTGGAGATGCTCTAACAAATTCCCATAATAGGAAAGAAATCATCAATTTTTGGATTTAGCAAAGATTAGCTCCTAACCTTCAGGCTCGAAATATATAGATATATAGCTGGCAAACTGAGTAAATATTCATCATAATATTCATAGTACGAATTATTTCAAATAATTATTTTTGTTTTATTATTAAATCCATCATAATCATCCATTATTATATTTAAATTTGAATTATTCTCCAAAAATGATTAATGTTGAAATTCTTTCATTTCAAATTCATAAATTGAAATGCAACTGTGTTGTTAACACCAATGGAAAAGCACTCTTTTCACTCACATTTATTTTTTTAATAGGCCAAGTGTTGTTTTATACTAATTCTTAAAAACTTGGGTGAAGTTTCCCTCTATTTTCAATGGTTGAAGTGTGTTTTTTTACTCTCCACTTCGTAGAAACTTGGTGAAGTTTCCCACTATTTTCCTTCCCAGGAAAAAAACATATCTTTTCCCGCCAACAAATACCAAAAATAGAAACGAATGGATGCATCATCATTGATAAAAAAAGAAGAGAAAAATACAGAAAAACATAAGAGCCATCGTGGGATGATTTTAATGAAAATTTTCAAATCCAGATATTATTCTCCTTCCCCGAAAAAAGAATAATCAAAAGGCAGCAATTGATTGAAAGTGATTACAAAACTTATATCAAATTGGGAAGGAAGTCACAGGCGTGCATTTCCCTTTCAAACCAACATTTTCCTAGGAAATTTCTTCTACTACTTATAAGTGAGTCTTAATGCACAGGCGTGCATTTCGCTTCCAAACAAACATTTTCGTAGGAAATTTCTTCTACTTATAAGAAAGTCATAGTGCATATGTTCGATCATTGCGAGTCTTAATCATCTTTCGTGAAAGTCTAGAGGTATGATATGATCTTTTCATTTTTTTTGATTTGATTTGATTTGACAAGTCAATTAATCTTTTCGAATTGTTTGCGATTGTTTGTGGGTTGTTGGGTGATTTGATTTTATAATTTTTTTTTATTATTAAAAAAAATTTCGATGATTGGTGGTGGATTTGATCAGTGTGTTTTGATCGTTCGATGTTTAATTCTAGTTGTGTGCGTTAGTTTGTAATCTCTCTCTCATGTGTTCTCGAAAGTGAAGGCTTGAAATGGCCCGAAAGCGTGTGCTCACCCGCCCATAATACGTCTCTCTCTATCTCTCTGTTTCTCAGTCTCAGACCCAAACTCTCTCTCTATCTCCCTATTTCTCTTCATTCTCTATCTTCTCATCCCTCCTCGTTGTCGATCTTCAAGAGCTTCTCAAACTGAAAGAGACTTGTCAGCCTCCTTCTCTGATCTCTCTCTCTCTTCGATTTTCAAGGGTTCCCTGTTTTGGTCAAGTTCTAGT